CCAAAGCAAGGCAGTAAAGTCACTAAGACGCATGGGTTTACTGAGCCTGAAAGAATATAAGATAAAGAAAACATTATCAAGCAGCAAGAACAGTAAAAGGACAGAAATTAATAAAACAGAAAATAGCGATTGTCATTGCATTTATTTATTTATTTATTTATTTTATTTATTTATTTTTTTTTTTGAAGATCAAACTTGGCTGGAAAGCAAGTAGCCGGAAGAAAGTTCCACATGCGGGAAGTAGAGAGAAAAATAAAATTTTATCATAGACCATGTTACATCTAAACATTTCAACTGTAAAATGATGAGATTTTGTCGCCAATCTAGTAGGGGATGGAACAGTATTAGCGTTCTAACACATTGAATAATGATATCAGCTCACAATTCCAATAATATTACATAGTACACCAGCAGACAGCTAAAGAAGGACGGAAGTTACAGCAGCCGAAAATTTAGTGAGCATAACCAGCAAGATGAGACTACAGTTGAGCAAGGCAAAGCAGAATCTTAAAAGGAAAAAAGGGAGAAGGATATCTGTCTATATTTCTGAGATATTGTAACTATTTCCATTGTTCGTATATCACATGAAGAAGGTCGAAGGGTACAACGGCCGAAACGTCGTCAATAAAGATTAAGACAACAGTCCGAGCAATGTAAATAATGTAAAGGAAGTAGATGTTTATCACTTGTGTCCTCTTTAGCATTTGGTTTCCGGTTCCTTTTCCTCAAGTCTATACTTCTAACGTCTCCGCCTAAACTCTGAAATGTTATATAGTATTTATTTCTCACCAGAAGTAGAGATTTGTCCATTGTTTCCTGTTTATAATTAGGTTTCCGGTCCCTTCGAAAATTTCCTTCAACTCTATTCGTCTATCGTCTCTGCACAAACTTTGAAAATTTATTTACTATTTATTTATTTATTTCATCCTCATTAAGTTTAGATACGTTTGCCTATCATCTAATTCACAATATTAGACGGTATTTTGAACAGGAATAGAGATTTATTCGTTTTTCATGGGTTGAATAGGGTTTCATGTTTCTTCTAAAGTATGTTTCATTCTTTTTCACTCCCAATAGCTCCTTGCATCTTAGTGGCATTATCGCCTTGTTTTGGAGTGAATTAGTTTTTAAAATATGATAACACTGATAATTCAACATCTCAAAACTTCCGAAATAATTGTTAAAGACATTTTTTTCTTTTAATAGTATGATTTTATTAAACTTAATTCAGTACAACATTGTTAAATATGTGATTTTGGAAACAGTGAAATGGAAAGAGACTTCTTGCATATGATAATTACCGGAACTATCCAGAGTTATTTCCGGTTGTTTCCGCTATCGATCGGTGTGAACGTCTCATTATTCTTTCAACTTTTCTGTTAAAATTGATTCTTTTTTAGAAATTTTTCACTCTCACTGTAGAGAAGAAAAATATGCCTATCACACTAAACAATAGTTAGAATATGAGACAATAACAAAAAGAAGCCCAACACGGAGGCGGAAAAGAAAAGAAAAAATCGAAAAATATTTCCTTCCAGAAGCTTAAAACAAAAGCAACTAATGGCTCGTGACATCCGCCATATTTAAGGTGGGCTTTCTTTTTTAACGGACGACACCAGTGGACGCTGAAGAAGCAATAAATGTTTGTTTTGTCAGCGAATTAATTTAATTATTAGCTCGTTGACAAGCGTTGATGCGCATGTGCACATTCAAAAGTGGATGTACATAGTTGTGTGAGAATTCAGAGTGGACTATTCTATTTTTAATAAACCTCCAATGGTTCTTATTACCATATTTCTGATTGCTGTTTCGAACACTCACTGTATTGTGGTCGATTTCGTTCCGTCTATTCCGATCTACAATGTGCAAAGAAAGCTATATCGAACAAACGAACGAAAAGTGTCTTTCCGGAAACGCTCGACACTTCCGGTGGGGGGGGGGGCACGTAGAAATAAGAAACAAGAAAAATAAAACACAACTACATGTTTGATTGTTTATGCATTGCCCAGCCAAATAGTAAAGAATGGTTTGTTATTTGTTTGTTTAACGGCATATCAACTCCTTACAGGTCATTTAATGCTAATTTTTTTATTTTGGGGTGTTCTTTGAAGTAATAAAAATATGATATATGTTATTCTGCTTTCACAGTTGAATACATGGTAGATAATACTCAGCCTTTGCGCATATACATGCTTGTAGGGAAATAATTACCAGATGCAGTGCTGTGCTTTATATTGTAGTTTTGTTTAAGTTATATTATGGAATACAGATTCATTTCTTTAAAAAATTGAAGGATATAATATGGATTAAGGTCATGAAAAAGTTCTTTCATATTGGTTGTTTCGCTACTTCTATTTAGCGGTATATGTGTTATTTAATGCCAAAATCTAAATCATTTAACACAGTTTTATAGCTTCAATTATAGATAAAATGTATTGTCGGTCATTTTGCCATAAAATATATTGGTGGCAATTCTGCTTTAAAAATGTATTGTTAGTACATTTACTATACGACTTGTTGGTATTTTTATATAAAAATGTATTTTATACTTTCATAGTGTTTTGTTTAGTGGTTCACTATTTGCCCATAGATAGGACCCAAACAGGTGCTGCCACCCCAGTTCAGGGTAGACCTTGAAACAGGAGCATTTCACACTCCTTAAAACATTCACTATCCCGATAAGAGATACAGCCGGATCAGTATGAAGAGGAGATAGATATGGAATGAGTTATGTCATGAATAATATATATATATATATATATATAAACACACACACATGCGCGCGCGCACACACACACACACACACATATATATATATATATATATATATAGGTAATGAAAAGTTTGTAATCCGTATGGTAATCCCAAGGAGGATATAATCCAAAGAGCTCAGTAAAACCAGAGAGAATATTAATTTAATTTAATTATATAACAGACAACCTTAAGGGTCTATTGATTATATTTTATTTCCCCAGGAAAGTGATTTTTCCTGGTTCCTCAGATCACGTTTCCAAACATAAAAAATATATTTATATAATTTATGTAATATGTATATAATTTATTTAAGAAAATAGTCTGACTGTTATTTAATTAAACAGTATTAATTACATTTCCCGGTCTGAACATTTCCTTAACTAAATTGAATATATTAAAAATAGCGTTTCAACAGAAAATATATTAATAATTGTCGTACTTAATCCATTTCATTATATATCTTACTTATTATAAAACGCAGATTGTGTGTGTGTATGTGTGTCTGTACGTTTATATATTGGATTGGATTTCCTACATTTTTCAACCGATTTCAACAAAACTTCACAAGACTACGTAAAATTACCTTGCGGTGGTTCTGACAGTGCCAAAAATTGAAAAAACACAATTGTTTTTGCACGAAATAAATTTGAAAACACGACTAAGAGGCATCACGAGAATGGAAGGGGGACAACTCATATCGAGTTATACTTATTATAAAACCCAGGTTGTGTGTGTGTGTGTTCGTTTATTTTATGGGATCGGATTTCCTACATTTTTCAACCGATTTCAACAAAACCTCACTTTTTTTTGCAGGTAGTGTTTCTTATTGTTTTGCACACTTTTTTCTTAATTTTTACATTCAGAATGCTTTAAAAATTCCATTTACAAGACAATTGTTTATAATAAAATTCTATTCAATCGGTAGACTCATAACGATTGAAAACAATGTTTTTGTTTGAGTTTGGGTTTGACCAATTCGTAAAAAAAAAAAAAAAAAACTAATTAAGACATGCGTGTCCGTCAACCTTAAACAATAATCTTTGTCAATTTTATTTTCAGTCTTTATGATGGTCGATGTTTGATCTATCTCTTACTGTTACATCCCCGGCAACGCTGGGCTCTACTACTAGTATATATATATATATATATATATATATATATATATATATATATATATATATATATATATATATATATATATATATATAGAGAGAGAGAGAAAGAGAGATAAAATATTGCAGATTGTGATAGAGAAAGAAAAACCAGGAAAGAAAGAAAATCAGATATCTTGAGATATCAGTGCCAAATATTCCTCTATCCATTTTGAAATCATTTCTGACAACTGAACGAAGCTATTCCAATAGTCTGCTGCTTCCATGCAAACATATCGATAAATCGATCAGACATCTTCATTATGGTGTGCTCAATTCTCGCCACGTCAAAGTTCGTAATTATCTAGTCATCAATGTCGTACGCCCATTCCTTCTAACTTCCGCCTTCCGCCTCGAACTTCATACGTTATTTCCCGTGCTGCCATATCAACTGACCTCTGTCTGTTACCCATGGTAGGCAGGCGGGTCATTTTTTTTTTGTCTTATTTTAATGATAAAAGACGCCATTTCTTTTTATTCCGTTGTACATTTTCTTATCTTCTTTGTATCGGCTATTGTCTTTTTTATGAATTAATTTGAATGGATTTAATTATAATTTCGAATATATTTTTCTTTTTTTCTTCTTTCATTGTTTTTCTTGTATTTTCTCATCAATTTGTCTTATTAAAATAAAACGATTTCTTGCTAAACAACGCTGTCTTAATTATCCTTTATTCATTTAATTATATTTTGTTTTTCCTTTCTTCGTTTGAACGCCATTTTTTTTTTCGATAATGCTATTTGTTACCTCGCTGAAGCCATTTTCGTTCCATTTTCCCTGGAGCACTCGGTATTTAATATTACTTGCAATTACGGTATTTGATGGCATATAAATCATCTCAGGCCCGACATTTTTTCTCTCCCGAGAATACGTCCCAAAAATATTTTTTTCGTTCTTAGAGGTGACGTTGTGAAATCTCAGTTGATTATCATGAGTCGTACATAGACTAAAATCTATTGCAGTGGAACAGGAATTAGGCCGAAACGCTCTCAGCCAGACACAGACAAAAATTATCGAATTAAACATTAAGGCGACGGATCTTATATGTTGCCAAATATGGTAGATTATTTAATATAGATAGATGTTAAACAGACATAGATAGATAGATAGATAGATAGATAGATAGATAGATAGATAGATAGATATTGAACAGACATAGATAGATAGATAGATAGATAGATAGATAGATATTGAACAGACATAGATATTGAACAGACATCGATAGACAGACAGACAGACAGATAGGTAGATATTGAACATAAATATTGAACATAGATAGATAGATAGATAGATAGATAGATAGATAGATAGATATTGAACAGAGATAAATAGATATTGAACAGACATAGATAGATAGATAGATAGATAGATAGATAGATAGATTACAAATGAAACATACATAACTACATAGACATGTACAAATGATAGATAGATAGATAGATAGATATTGTATAGACAAAGATAGATAATTTTTCTCGCCAGAATCTATCTCACATCTTTATAAGTGTAACATATTCGTCCTTACTTTGAGTATTGCTGCTACATCTGGTCTGGTGCTCCTGCTACATAATTAGAGATTTTTGATAAAATACAAAAAAAAATCTACAATATTGCTGATCCTGACATGGCCTCTCGGCTTGACTCTTCCACATCTCGTTCAGAAATATCTAAACTGTCACATGCTAGAAAACGATTTATCAGCCAAATGATTAAATTGGCTTAGAGAGAAACTCCACTGTAGGACTTGGATAGCTTTATATTACATCAAATCATAATGGCTGCCCCTAACACAATCACAAAGCATTTTACCAAGTAACAACCACTTCACTTGTAAAGCTCCAACTGCAACAACAAATAAAGTTGATAGCACATGTAACTAGAAGGGAAAAGTAATAGGGTAGTAATGTTGAACTTCTGTGGCACCCTGCATTATTAGAAAAACTAAAAAGAAATATTCATAGAAATATGATTTAATTTTTATTCGGTTTATTAACCAGTTGTTAGTTATTTAGACGAAGAATAATTGAGTTTTGAGAATAATTCTCTAATTGTATTTAGGCGACCCTAAGGGAAGAAGAAGGGAAAAGAAAAGAGGAAAAGAAAGGGAAAAGAGGAGAGATGGGTAATGCAAAAACCGGTCATAAGCGAAAACAGGTGTCAAGAGATATCTAGGCCAACGCGCCTGACCGAATTTCGAACAATAGAAATTAAGAATAAGTCTAGAGATAATGAAAGAAATAAAAAGAAAACAGACATGGTAAAAGTGGATGAACATACGTACGATTGATAAAAATATCGGTCAAAACATCTGGCCTACTTTTGTGTTCACGGAATGTAGAAGCTCATTATCAATTTGGAGAAATGGGATTTTTTAGAACAATGGAAAACGAAATATTAATCGGAAAGGGGTGTCTTTGGAATGAGAAGGTGACCGCTGGAATTGTATACAGATCCTGACCTGTTGAAGATTAGAACCCCACGATGATGAAGTGAGGATATTTTCAATTCAGATAATTAAGATTTTGACTGTCAGGCCTGAACGAAAATAAAGGAATGAAAACAATTGTTTTGGCTAACAGAAAGCGCCAGCGAGACGAGAAAAAATTCTTCCTGAAGTCACATCTAATTAGCGGCGGGCTGTTTTGACAAAAAAACCAAAAGGTGAGAAAGGCCGAGATTGTCATTTTCGTGCGTGCGAAAAAGGCCAAATTGGATTTTGTTTTTTTAGCAAGGTGTTTCTTTCCCAGAACAAAGCCGGGATAGGCCACGCCCGATTGGAGACGTCACGAAGGACGGAGACGCCCAACCAGAATCTCATTAGCCGAAAGCGGTCACGTGATATGCGAGAAAGAGGAGAAAGGACGCTCTACCAGGACCCATTGGTCGAAAACGGTCACCTGACATACGAGAGACCGGGAGAGATGGTATGCGCCCCCCAGAGGCACTGTGAGGAAGTAGGGGTGAAAATAAGAGCGATAATGGGAAATCAGAACTAATGCGACTTTTGGAATTATCAAGAAAACCCTGACGCCGACAGACCCACCCCAGTTTGTTGCGGCGTCAATAAAAGCAGGACCCCAATCGACAGAAATCAGAGAGTTGCGGGGTAGACGGCCAGAGCAGTTGGAGAGCGGACGGCGGGCCCTGTTCATTTGCCCCTTGCGGGCAAGAAGGGTCGGTCCGTTTGGCCCGGACAGGCAGAGAAGTTGCAGCCAAGTCGAAGAGAAGAAAATTGCTCGAAAGCCGCAGAGAAGTTGGAGCGGAATTGCAGGCCAGACAAGCAGAAGAGCTGCAGGCCAGACAGGCCGAAGAATTGCAGGCCAGACAGGCAGAAGAGCTGCAGGCCAGACAAGCAGAAGAATTGCAGGCCAGATAAGAAGAAGAGCTGCAGGCCAGACAAGCAGAAGAGCTGCAGGCCAGACAGGCCGAAGAATTGCAGGCCAGATAGGCAGAAGAGTTGCAGGCCAGACAGGCAGTAAAAGTTGCAGGCCAAACAAGCAAGTTGAGTTCAGCCCCGGAAGGCAGAGAGAAGAGTTCACCTCAGACGGCAGAGAGAAGAGTTCGGACCTTGGCGAGAAGAGTTGCAGGACGGAAGAAGAAGAAGTTACTTGCAGTTGCGTCTAGAAGAAGTTGAAACCAGGCCAAGCCTGAGGGTGGAAATTCGTCCAACCCAAATCGAAGTGAAGAAATACGTCCAACTCAAGCCGAAGCGAATAAGCTCGTCCAACTCAAGCCGAAGAGAAGAATCAGCCGTGACCCACTGGTAGAGATTAGCGCCCAGTGTCGAAACCAAACCACACTCCGACATACAAAATTCTAGAGAGTAGGCAACTCGAAGTCTTTAAATTGTATGATAGAAGCTTGGTGCCACAGTCCACAAAACGGGTCGGGAAGTAAGAATAATTTTTATGTAACGAACATTAGATATAAAAGGTTGTTACCCTTTCTTATCAGTAATTTTTTGCCTCGTGTTTTTTTTTTTTTTCTTTTACTTGTGTGTTGCCACCCCTGTTGAACCCAGCTGGACTACGCCCCCGACTCCTGTTTGATCCCGCCTGTCTAAGATCTAATCACAACGTGGGTAGGCAGACCGGAGATCAGTACAGTTACCCTAGTAACCAGGTGTTGGAAGCGAGTTGGGAACGGCGAGGCTGGTAATCATCTAACCAGAGGGTTGGAACGTCACACTTGGAGCAGCGAGGAGCGAACAGCTGACGCCGCGGCAAAAAACGTCACAACTGGTGCTGTCCGTGACAAGGATCGACCCTTGGGCGGCCACATTACGTCACGTCACAGTTGGAGCCGCGAACGAGATCGAACGACAGAGTCGACGCTGCGACCAAGGAGGGGCGACGTCACACTTCCACAACGCTTCTTCTAGGTGCCATCAGGATGTCGGCGATCGCAACTCTTGAGGCCTTTTCTACCCTTACCATGTCTCTTGTGTCCAGTTTCGTCATCTGTTCACACAATCTAGTCAGTTAGTTGTTCCGCTACCTCCCCTCATCCCTCTTTCCCTATATATGTCTAGTGAGGGTAAAATTCCCCAAGCCCTTCTTCTTTATTATGTGTCCAAGAAATTTTCACTGTGTCTTCTGAGTAAATGTGTAAAGTGCTCAGTTTGTTAACATTTTTATGACTTCATCTCTGCTTAATCGCTCACTCCATGGAGTTCTCAGTATCCTCCTGTAGAATCACATTTCTGGTGTCTCAAGTTTAACGTCATCAGTGGGAAGATTGTCCTGCATTTACTGTATTACAATAGGATTGATATCACATAGCATTTCGACGGTCTTTGCTTCCAACGAAAAGATTAGAAAGGATACTCTCATCGCTGCTAGAAAGAGCGATAACAGTTATGTGATTTTAAAGGTTTTATAGATTTTAATAGAGAGTAACGCTAACTCTTTGGTCAAATAATGCCTAACGTTTCCTTGTAACGAAATGTCTATTCGTAAAATTCTCATTCACATTAAGACAATTTGTCAAGAGTTGACTCGTACAAGTAGCAAGCAGCTCAGCTCACATTATTCTAACCGTCTGAAAGCAACTCACTCACCATAGGTTTTACGACGTGTCAGTCCAGAAGCAACTCCACATATCGAAGTGTTTAATATATTTTTTTCACGGCGGTGTTCAAATCTACAAGACAGGGGTACTCGAGGTAGAGGGTTATGCGAATATATGTGGAAGATAACGGTTAAACCTGGACTTGAATCAGAGAAGTGATCAGGGAAGTAGCCACTTAGGAGGCGGTTCCACGATGTTGTCATTTGTGGAAAGAACAGGCTTCAGTGTAAATTACACCTCACCAGGAGAACATCAAAAGAATAAGGGTGGTTCGCTAAAATGTGCGTAGCATGGCAGGTCATAGCCGTGATGGTTAGGAATAGTGAAACTAAAGGGGATATGAAAGGAATGGCGGTAGTTTGCTACAATATGCGTAGCATGGCGGGACTTAGCGGTGAAGGATAGGGCGAGTGGAGCTAAGTTGATATGAAGGGAATGATTGTGATTAGCTGCAAAATGCATAACATGGCAGGTTCGGTCTGGTTTGGTTTGTTTTACGGCATATCAATCTCAATGATTAAATGCCGACAAAATTTTTATTTCTGGTAATATTTTTTTTCAAAGATGTATAGCTGGTAATATCTTTTTTTTCCCCAAAAATGTATTGCTGGTAATATTTTTTTTTTCAAAAATGTTCTGCTGGTAATAAATATTTAAAGGTATTTTTTAGATATTAAAACCTATTTTTACACTTGCATAGTGTTTTGATCCCAATTTGGTGGCTAACTATTTACCCATAGGACGAGTGGAATTAAGTTGATATGAAGAAAATGGGGGTGGATCGCTACAATGAACGTAACATTGCGGGTTTAGTCATAAAGATTAGGACTGGTGCAAATGAGGTGATCTGAACAGAATGAGGGTGGATCACTACAATTCACGTAGCATAGCGGTTCTTAGCCGTGAAGGTTAGGACAAATCGATCTAAGGTGATATGAAGAGAATACATGTGGATTGGGACAATGTAGTGTAGCATGGCGTGACTTAACCGTGAAGACTAGGACTGTTGGAACTAAGGGGATATGATGGGAATGAGGGCAGTTCGCTTCAAGCTGCGTAGCATGGCGGATGTTAGCCGTGAACGTTAGGACGAGTGGAATTAAGGATATATGGAAGGAATGGGGATGCTTCGTTACAATATGCATAGTATGGCGGGTCTTGGCCGTGATATTTAGGACTGGTGGAACTCTTGATATTAATGGAATGAAACTAGTTCGTTACAATGGGCGTAACATATCGGATCTTAGCCTTGAACTTTAGGACTATTGCAATTAAGGGGATATGAAGGAAATTCGGGCGTTTCTCTAAAATATGCGCAACATGGTGGTCTTTGTTGTGAATTTTAGAACTGGTGGAGCTACGGGCATATGAATGAAATGTAGGTGGGTCGTTACAATATGCATAGCTTGTTGTGTCTTTATCCTGAATGTTAGGACTAATTGCAGGAGATACGAAGGTAATGAGGGTGCTTCACTACAATGTACATACTATGTTGGGTCTTAGTCATGATGTTTAGAACTGGTAGAACTAGGGTCATATGAAGATAATGAGGGTGGTTCGATACAATGTGCGTAGTACGTTAGTACTGGCGGAACTAAGGGGATAGGAAGGGAATATGCGTGGTCTGCTACAACATTGACAGCATGGCGTGTCTTAGATGTGAAGGTTATCACTGGTGGGACTAATTTATATGAAGGGAATGATGGCGGTTCGCTTCAAGGTGCGTGGCATGGCGGGTCTTAACCGTGAAGATTAGGACTCATAGAAATAAGTGCTTATGAAAGATTGAGGGTGGTTCGTTTTAATATGTATAGCATGGCGTGTCTTAACCGTGAGGGTTATGTCTGGTGGAACTCAGGGATATGAAGGCAATGATGGCGGTTCGCTTCAAGGTGCCAAGCATGGCGGGTCGTGATCGTAAGCCATATCATAGCCGTTAACTAACATAATGGTTACGCCGTCAAATCAAATAGTAGATACGCAATTAAAAGCTGGTCTCTGTATTTCTTTCTGGCGTAATTCTCAATAAATTTACGGAGAGGCAAACATTTCTGGTAGGACAACAGCTTGGACTGGCAAGAAATAAGATTTCAGAAAATAGTGTTTGTGTGTGTGTGTGTGTGTGTGTGTGTGTGTGTGTGTGTGTGTGTGTGTGTTTATGCGCGTGCGCAGTTTTATTAATTTTTTTATTAATTCTGGCACAAGGCCAAGCTGTGAGAAGTATATCCTCTCTCGGTATATTTTTATATCGATTTATCTCCAGTGCCTACCATTTTTCCAGATTAGATTATTTGGCACAGAATAACATGGAGAATAAAAATGGCGTTAGAGGGAATACGTAAATAAAACTTCTTAATTGAAAAATTTTTGAACATCCCCAACAAAAATAGTGCCCGACGGATATATATATATATATATATATATATATATATATATATATATATATATATATGTAGAAATTCATATCACGAAACACCATTAAAAAAACGCTTCTAGGTCTTATTCCCATAAAATGTTTATTGTATGTTTATCGACTTCTAAAATCAAACATAAAATAATGAAAAGCACAACATGAAGGAAAGACATGAGACAAAAGAATTGTGGTTCTACAGAAGGATCCTGAGAATAGCATATACTGAGCATGTGGATAAGTGAAAAGTTTTAAGGAAAAGGGATACAGAAATGACAATTATACTTAAAATCCGAAAGAAACAATTGAATTTTGTAGGACACATAATGAAGAAAGAAGGCTTAAAGAAATCAACACACTCTAGGCGGAAGAACAGACAGGAACATCGAGTAACTTATCTAAGAGGTTTGTGTAAATGGATGTCCGAACAATGGTGAAAAAACAAACATTACGATCAGCTAAAAGGAGATGAAGCCGTGGAGAGCCAAGATCACCTTCGTACTGAAGGAACACGGCACAAAGAAGAATTATATTATCTATATGTAAACACATGAAGAAACACATACCTCAGGTTGGATCAAAAAGTTCGTTTGCTCAACAGATAGTTTTAGTATGAAATTTCCCTTTTATGACGTTCGAGATCCGGGATTAATATTCAATTCGAAATTAAGTATGCATTTTTTCAGTGCGCCCCCGTCACTACCAAGTGTGGCACAAGGTCACTTTTAAGTGGGTTTAATGGTAATTCTGTCGAAAAATTGCTCAAGCTCCCTCGGCACTTCCCCTTTTGAGGACGACTCAGTCATCAGGTAATGACCTCGGCCTCCTCTCGAAGGGGAGGTACTGACTGGTGGGATTGCTCCCTGGGGCTTACGACTTGGAATTAAGTAATTTGACAAGAAAAAAAATAATTGAAAATAAATATGAGT